TGATTCCGGAAGCAGGCCTAGGCGACCTCAGGGACTTCAGGTCCTTTGCTAAGATCCTGCACCTCAGAACCCTCATCCTCAGAACAAAAAGGTACCCACAGGGTCCAGTTGAGGAAGGACTGCCAGAGGGGTCCCACTATCTGGTGTCCAGGAGGCCTTGTGGACAGTAGCTGGCTTCCCCCTCAGCGGCATGCTTTTGTGCAAGGACATCTGGGGCCCACTGAGTGTCAGGCCTGGCCTGGGGGCTGAGGAAGGGACAGGACAGCATCCCGACCACTGAGGGACCTCAGGCCAAGGAGGAAGCAGACCTGTTTGCAGTCCTGGACCAGGCACCGCACGTTGGGTAGTTGAAGAGGCCCAGGAACTGTCTCCCTGTGGTTCCCACACCCGCTGGCTCTGGGCAGGATGGACCCAGGCCTCCAGACCAGCCTCTGTCCACCTGGGTGGGTGGGGAGAGAGGCCTAGGCCGCCTCTGCCCTCCTCTCCAGGTGACCCACATTCCTCTCTGCTGTAGTCCAAGCTCCCCTTGGAGAAATAGCTAGGGCCTAACCAATGGGGCAAATAGACGTTGGTCTGAAGCTCTGTACGCAGGCGTTCTGGGAGCACCCACAAAGGTTTCAGTTGCTCTAGAAACCCTGGCCCAGGTTGATGCCAAGGAGAGGCCCCACTGAAGTCCCCTAGGTGGACAGAGCCAAAAACCTCTCTGTGTACATCTGGCAAGAACCAGGCCTGACACCAGAGAGGTCACTCAGGGAATGGGCAGGTAGCCCAGCACCTGGCACAGAAGGTGACAGCACCAGGCTGGCCTGTGATGTGGCTACCATCTTGTAGTAGTCTGGGTCACATAACAGGACCCTCACCTGACGGGAGCCCTGGCAGGAGGAGTAAAGGGACAAAAGTGGGCAGAGGATGAGCAGGGTGGCCAGGGAGGGTGGGAACAATTCAGCACCTTCCAGAAATGCAGTTGCGGGGCCGTTCTCAGCGGGCACTGGGGGCGCACTCCCTGCCCACCAGGACCCATGTGGGACCTCTGGGGTGGAGGTGCAGGACTGGGAGTTGCTGAGTGACTTTTCTGGGCCAGTCCCTACCCTACACAGCCAAGACAACAGATGCAGAAGAGGCCACCTGAGGATTCCGGGAGGCTGTAGGACAGTCAGGGAGTGCCTGTGCAGAGTCCTCCAGTTTCAGGTGATGACATATTCATCAGAGCCAGTAGCAGCTCACCCCCCAACAGCAGGAAGGCCCGGCTGTGGGAGACCCCCATGCAAGGGCAAGGCTAAAACCAGAAAGCAAGTGGTCCTGGGTCCACCCCCCACACTGGGACATCTTTAAGGCCAGAGCCTACACACCCACTCACCAGGCCTGCAGAGTCCTGCTCCAAGAGACAGGGTGCCCAGTGCCCCCATCTTGGCATCACCAAAAAAGGTGTGGTAGTCATCTTAGAACAAATAATGGGAACCAGATGTCTGACCACCCCAGTAAAAGAAAGCCCCCCAGACCCATTGCACACAGGACATCAGAAGGCAGAGCATCACACTCAAACACATGAATCTTTAATGTCACATCAGAGAAAGACTGAGCCAGGATCTATCCCAGCAGATGCTGGGCTGGTGAGGACTTCCATAGGGGCCCCCACTGTGATCGGTACCCAAGGAGTGTGGGTGGCAGAAGTGGACAGTTCTGAGTGTCCACAATGGACAGGAAGTACTGCCCCCACCCCTACCCCCTGACTATGGCACACGTGTAATGCCGTATCTCCAGGTTTCCTCACTCTGGGGATTTGTGGCTCACACCCACACAGATTCTGTAGCCAGCTGGCAGGCAGATGCAGCCTGAGTGCCAGGACCCCTCCCCAGGGGCTATAGAAGCATCTGCCCAGAAGCTGCCTGCTTCTGCAAGAAGCCAGTGAGGGGAGATGGAAGATTTGGCCAAAGGGGCTGTTCCTGCAGGGACACAGGGCAGGCATGTGGCAGGAACAGGGCACTGGGTGGGTGGGCACTCAGCTTCTAGCAAGGCAGCTCAGAGCACCCCATATGGCCTGGCTTCACACAGGGATTCTCGAAGGCATGTGGTTGGCTCCTCCTGCAAAGCAATCTCCCCAGGGAGCATCACAAGTAACACTGTGCAATTTAGAGCATGGGGAGCATTGCCATCCAGCTTCCTAGGGGGTCCTGCCTCATTGGGGCTGTTGGTTTGGGCCAGGAGTGCTTGCTTGGATCCCCCATACTGGCCACTCCAAGGAAGGAGATGCTTGGGGGGGTCAAAGTCTCAGGAAGTGTTGAGTGCAACCTGGGGGAGTCCCTCCACCCAGGCCAGAGCTGGACCACCAGGGAGCAGCCAGACCTGTCAGCTCACCCCACTGAGAAAGGAAATGGTGGGCAGAGGCGGGACTCTGCAAATCCTTCCTGGACAGGGTCTGGGTCTGAGGAGAGTCAGGGGGGTGGGGCTCCTGGGTAGACCTGGGGGGCGAAGGGCATTGGGCTAACAGTGCCATCACAACAGATTGGAAGTGCGTCCTGAGGCAAACAGAGCTCATTTTGGAGCACAGGCCAGCTGACCAGGCTGGCCACCCCTATGACCTCAAATTCAACCTCATAGTTGGGAGGATATGTGACAGGCAAGGCCCGGTGGGGCCTGCAGAGGTCCCAGGTGAACAGCGGGCAGGGAGGGTAGAGTGCAGGGCCACATGCTACCTGACAGTCAACACCACCCTGGCAGGGTTGAGGGCTGACCATGTCGCGCAACGGTGCTGGGCAGGCTGGTGGCCGGGTACCTCAGTCCTGCTTGTCCCCTCTCTGCCTCCAGGGGTAGATGAGCTCCCCGAAGAACAGCTTGCGGCACAAGGAACCCCAGGAGTGTTTGGGGTGGCAGCCACAGCTGGGGAGGCGGTAGGTGTGTACCACACGATTGTAGGGCAGGGGGTTGATCTGGAAACACAAGGGTAGCAGTCAGCCCCCAACTCCCTGGGGCTTGAGCTCTCTAGGCCTCAAAGCCCACACAGGGGGTTGGGGGGTATCCCTGGGGCCAGCTCTGTGCCAGATGTGCTCTTGCCTGTGATCCATGGGGTAGGATGAGCAGCTCGGGAGGGAATGACCTGTTCTGAGCAGGCTGCAGGGAGGAGAGTGGGCTGGGCTGGCAGAGTGCAGACCACTCCACCACAGGACTCAGGGAACTCCCAGGGGCCTTCTCAGGGACACACCTCACATGAGAAAACAACACAGGGCACCGGTTGCCTCCGCATCTGACCTCTCCCAGTGACCCTCAGGCCAACCCCACCAGCCTGGACCCAACACTGGTAACCAGTGAATCATCTGGGGGTGAGGGTCATCTGGCAAGTAGCCTGCTCCCTCCTAAAGGCCTGGGGCCCCAAGACTGTTTCAGATAAAAGAGTCCAACAGAGAACAGATGTGTGTCCCGATGCCTTCACCAAGTTTGTGCTGTTCTGCCTGGAACAAGAGCTTTTGGAGCCCAGGGCAGGACTCAGGGACCCATAGCCAAGTAGGCAGGAGCCCTAGACAGCCAAATGCATCTGACAGTGCAGGGGATCTTGTCCATGGGCCCTACTGGGGAAGGTTCCAGGCAGAGGTCACGGTGCAGAGAGGCCTTGGGGGTGGGAAAGCCTCCCTTTGGGCTGTACCCCTCAGCTCTGCTGGGCCCTCCGGCCTGTACCTTACCCTGGGCCCGTGATGCTCTAAACCCAGGGCAGCAAAGAGGGGCGTGATCCCAGCTGCCCAGGAACACGGGCAGCATCCCGGGGTAAGAAGAGAGATGTCCGCAGACAGCCGTTGAGGGGTACGCGGAGGCCTTACCTGCATCAGAAGGCGGAGGGGTCTGCCAACCTCATGCTCCAGGACTTGAAACTTCACGCCAGCTAGAAGGAGAGCAGGTGCTCCTGAGGACGACAGTGGCCTTCCAGGGCTCCCAGGGCCCAGAAGACAGCCCCCATCAGTCCTCCTCTGTCAGCAGAGAAAGGCGTGGACAGAGGAGCTCTGGCGGTGGAGGCCCCTTCACCTCTGGGCAGCACTCTGAGGGCTGCCCGCGCTCTTCTGTCCCGCCTGTCCTTCCCATATGCCTCTTTGAATGGGTTGCTGGGCCAATATCAAAGCTTCCTGCACAAATCCACTGAGGGAAAAACTGAGTGTCTGGCTAGCAGTGGAGCACAGCCTGTGCTGTTTTCCAAATGAGACATGGGTTTTCCCATGGAGCCAACAGGCACTTGCTGGGTGGCGGCCGTCCTACTGGCATCTAAATGTCTTCCAAATTCTATGTGTGTGGCCAACTGGGACCTACCATGCCCCTGGCCTGCAGTTTGGACACCCACCCCTGGGCATTCCCAGGCTGAAGGTTTTTTGAAAAGAGAAATAGGAGCTAATTATTATTTGATGAAGAGGCCCAAGGCAAATTCAGGGAAGAGAGGAGACAGCGGCATCTGGGGCCTTTAATGTGAAGTTAAAACAACTCTACTCTGGCAGTGAGCCAGGGCATGGGGGAGGAGGGTGCCGAGTCTTGGTCTCTCCACTTGTGTTGTCCTGGCATTCTGAGGTGTAGGCTGGGGGCTGAGTGAACCTGGGCAGCACAGTGGATGGGTCCCTAGCCTGGCCATCTGTAGGGAGAGCCTTGTAAAGAGGGTTTAAGGGCATCCAGCAGACAGACTTTAGGTCAAAAACCCGTGGAACAATCATATTCACATCCTCTGGCTCTGAGCTGGCTGGGAGCAGCCACAATGAGCTCTTGGGTGTGTCCCAAGCTGCCCAGCTACAAACTGGGGTCAGGGTCTCCTGGGCATTGTGGTCAACTTGGGGGCCACATGAACAACTGCTGGACAGGGGCTGTGCTGGAAATCTCCAAGTGCTGTGTTCAAAGCCCCTACACCAACCCACAACCCTATGACCAACTGGTGAGGACAGCCTCCCCTTAGATGCATGTGGCCAACCCAGTGGTTAGTATTAGCATAAAAATGGGCAGCCACTTGCACAAGGGATGGCCGGGGCAGCTGGGATGAGGGGCGCTGTCCCAGCAGACCACTGTACCAGGTAGGAGTACATTCTTGTCACACAGATCTAGCCAGTCCAGCATCTTCCATCCTGGCATGTTGCCTCCAAAATTGAGAGTTACCAGCAGGCACACACAGCCCCACACAAACACACGAGCACACATCTTTTCTGAGCCACGTGCAGGTGCTATCTACACCACTGTGGACAGACTCAGGGCAGATATTCACACTTGTCACAGAAAAGGGTGAAAAAAGGAACTATCACCCCTGAAACCTAAGCCCCAGCTGGGCCCTCTACCTCCAGCTCAGTGCAGGCAACTGATCCAGCAGACGGCCTGGGACCAGGGGTCTCTGTCCTCCCTTCCCACCCATCCCATGCACTCCACTGCTTCCAGGCAGGAGGCACACATGGTGTAGTTGGTGTTTCTGCAGGGCTCACAGGTGTGTGCCTGCCCACCCAGCACAGACCTACCTGAGAGTCTGTAGGGCCGGCAGAGCCGCAGGCCGAGCGCATACAGCGGCAGGGAGTTGATAAGGTCCACGAGCAGATGAATCAGACCCTGCACAGTGACCACCAGGAGCCGGAGCTGCAGCATAGACAGTGCTCAGGGCCTCTGAGCCAGGATCGTGGCCAGAGCAGAGCAGTCTGACGGGTTCTGGGCCACAGTGAAGAGTGACCAGGGACTCAAGAGCCTTGGGAGAGCATTTATCCCACTCTGAGGAGGGCCCTAATCCTGTTCCAAACCTGAGACGCAAGCACAAGGAGGCAGGGAAGCAGAAGGCAGGAGAGGGTGGCCCTCCCACAAGGTCAGAAGAGATGGTGCTCTGATCCAGGGAAATGAATCACTGGCCCCTCGGCCCAGGTCACCTAGGTGCTGCTCCCCTCCTTCTGAGTCCCCACCACCACGCCAGACATGGGGAGACTACCACCATGACCTGCCCACCTTGGGTCCAGTCCTCCTTGTACCCACCTAAGTGTCCCAGTGCGGTGGGTGATGGCCCCCAGGGTAGAGCCCCTATACACTCCAGGGCCCAGCACACACTGCCCAGAGAGTTTAGAACAGCCATACCCCATTGGCCTACAGCCTGCCCATAACTGCAGGCTGGCAGGCACATCTGGCAGTGACCACTCTAAGCGCTGCGGGCAAGGCCCCTCAGCCAGGTGTCATGCCCCGAGTCCCCCATAGCTCACCAGGGTGAACACCAGGTAGTACAGGGCCGTGGTGGGGAGCAGGAAGACCAGGATGGTGAACAGCAAAGTCCCAATGAACAGCTGCCAGGAGAAAGGCACCCTTGGCATCAGCTGGAGCTCACACTGGGGACAGCCCCCTGCTTCCCTCCAAATCGAGCCCACCCTATAACTGAGCAGAAAGGGGATGCCTGCCGGTAGGACACTGGCTTCCTGAGACAACTCATGAAAGCCTGCTGATGACAGCTCTCTCCAGCACTGGGGGGGAATGAATGCATGCCCTCCAGACTCAGTGATGCATGGGAGTTGGGGGCAGAGAGAGGACCAGCCAGTAAGGTGTACAACCACATACACCAAAGACAAAGTGTTGTAAAAATCATGCAGTAAAAGACACGCCCTGGAGGGCAGCACTCAGGTTCCATGTGTTAGGTCTGAGCAAGCTAATGGGATAAGCCAGAACCAGGAACCCGCTGCCTGGGTCACCTCCAGCGTCCCGGGCCTAGGGTCATGTCTAGGGCCCACTGCCAAGTCACTTCTAGTGCCTGCTGACCACTGACTCCCTAGGGCCCAGCAGCCTCTTAAGAGCAGGGTCCACCACCCATGGGGATAAGGTTCTGCACTGCCTGAGGTTCCCACATGACCCTGCATCTTGCAGACTCCCCAGGTCCCCCGGGGTTGATGCCGACTCTGTGGCAAGTGAGCTGCAGGACAGGAGCAGGCTGCTTCCTCATGGTGCCCACGCAGCTGCACTGGCCAGGCCCATTTAGAGGGGTTGGCTGGACTGGAGCTGGGAGGTCACACTGGCCAGTTGAGGCCAGAGTGCACCCTCCCCTGCATCCTGCTCAATACCTGGTCCAGGTCATAGGAGCAGGAGTCCACCCGCTGGCGCAGAACATTCCACTTCTTCCCTCGGAACAGGCGCCAGAGTGAGGAAAGGCCACAGATCTTCAGGCAGTACAGCCTGCAGGACATGGGCGCCATCAGGACTGGGCCTGGGTACTGCACCACCCCTGTAGCCACCCAACCCCAGGGCCTGTCTGTGGTACCCAGGGTATGGAGAGCTGCACTGGGCCAGCCTACAGGGGTGGGGAGCACACACCCACCTGGCACCATAGACATAGAAGCAGTAGATGTGGAAGGTGAGGAGGGCGATGATGTCCGACAGGATGGACAGGGCAACTGTCAGGCCCAGGCAGGCTGAGAGGCCCATGTGCCACAGGATTCGCTCGATGAATGGGGACATGAGGTGGATGTAGCCTGGCAGGAGGGGGGTCAGCCCTGAGGGGGTGCTCAAGAAGGTCCTGGTCCCCCACAAGTCCTCACTGAGGACGGTGCCTGAGTCTTCTGGAAAGTGTGAGTGACAGACTATGCCACTGGCCATCCCTCAGTAGAGTAGCCAGCCTAGCACAGCTGGACTCCACACACACTGGATGCCAGGGGGGCAGGAAGCAGAGACCAAGGGGATGGTGCCAGGCCTGGGCCCCACGGCCCTGCCCAACCAGGGCCCATGCCCCTGAGGGCACAGGCTTTAGGAGCCAAGTCAGGGATCCCTGGGAAGTCCCATGGCCCACCCACCCCCAGCACTCACTGATCCATAGGTGGATGTGGTACAGGAAGAAGCGGCCCAGCACCTGGTCCAGTGCCCGGTTCATCTTGAGCCCAGCAGGTGCGCCCATCAGCCACTGCAGCAGGTGCTGCAGCTCCTCGGCCACCCACTGTGAGGACACAGGGGCATGCTGTCCACAAACTGGGCCAGCCCATCTGGGCAGGCAGAGGTAGCCCGGGCCCCCTTCTCCAGGTATCTGGACTGCCATCTTCTATCATGATGGGAACATTGGATTTCCCACACTTGTCTGGCCATGGAACCCCTCTTCACAGATATTCTGGGATTCGGGGCTGAGAGGCACAACCTATGATGCCAGTAGTCTCTCCCTGGCCTTCTGGATAGGTAGCCCCTGATGGGAATCAACCTCAGAATAAAGCATCCTTGCCCCATCTCACCACTCTGGCCACTGTACCCACAGAAGCCCTTAGCCCCAGACTCCAGGATATGGGACAGACCCAGGCTCACTGTGAACCTTGCAGGGGGAGCCTGTGGGCCCACCCAGTCTTCCTCCACCAAGAACCCACCCCACCACCAGCCACAGCAGAGGCCTGGGCCTGCTCTGGGTGGATGACCTCAGGTGAGGGAGAAGGTGTCCAGCCTGTCAGGGGCCCAGGTAGCAGGTAGGAGGATGGGAGGGTCCCCTAAAGGGAAGGATACATGGGGACCCAGAGTCAGTCTTGAGATCAATGTCAAGTGAGGGCCAGAGACAGCACAGGGACCCTCACCAGCAAGCAATGAAGCTGACCCGTGAGTGTCCTGGCTGCCCTAGGAGGAAAGCCGATGCCCCTGTGCCATGCCGGCTCCAGTGGGCAGGCCCTGAGGACTCTCAGCCAATGCTGTGGCCACAGTAGTGACATCCCTGCATCACAGTCAGAGATATGCCACCACCACCATCCCTACCCCCAACCCCACCTGCCTTGCAGGCCTCTCCCAACCCTGTGTGAAGGCCTCAGCCGTATCAGGAGCAGTGAGAGGGGGAACAGAACATTCTTTATAAATAGAGCTTATTTAATATTTAAAGGATAAGAGCTTGGCAGAAGGAAGAGGCTTTCATTTTTCAATTAAATATTTATATTTCTGAGCAGTTTCGCAGAAAGGGGGTCTAGGGTGAACTTGGCCACAGGCAGAGCACAGAAGAGCAGGCAAAGTCGCCAAGCCTCTTTCCCAGCCCCCAGACTCTCCTTTCTCCTTCCTCTAAGCTGGGCCACTCTGAGAAGCCATGGACACGCAGCCTGTGGGGGCTCCTGCCCACAGAGTCCGGTCTGGCCACAGTAGGCCCAGTAAACAACCACACTGGACGCTGATGACGGCCAGAGGAGGCTGAGCCCACAGGGCCACCCAGTCAGGCCTCAGTCACAGAAGGCCCCGGAAGAGGCCGGTGGGTAGCTTAAGAGGCCAGAGGGATTGCCCTAACCAGGAAGCCAAGCTCCCAACAGAAGTGACAGGGTCTTTGGCTCTGAGGAAGGCAGGCAGAGAAGCTGAATGCATCAGGGGGAACCCTATAAGGATGATGTGGTGGGGAGGAGGGGAGTAGCACCCGGGCCCTGGAAACTTTGCCCAGATGTGCAGGGCAAGTCCAGCAGCATAGCAGATGAGCTGGTACCTCCGGCTCTCAGCATGGGAACTACAGAACCAATGCTGGGAGCGAGGTGACCACTGGAGGATGGGAGGCCAGAGCTCAACCGTGCACAGACAGCCCTGAACACACAGGTTTTCATGATGCTGAGCATGCAGAGGTCCCAACCCAAAGGCAGTCAGGAGAGCAGAAAGGCATGCACTGGGGGCGGCAACAGGAACACCAGGACACTGGGCCAGGCCCAGGGAGGTGGGCTCCCCCTAAACCGCTTGACCACAAGGTGGCCCCACACACACACGGCCACCTTCAGGAAGAGAAGCTAGAAGCCAGGAGCTGCAATTTGACCCAGCGTGGGAGGTGGGCACCTGGCAGATCCAAGTCTCCACGGCTCCTAGGGAACTGGTCCAGGGTCAGTGAGAAGGATCGCTCTTGTGACCACAAAACGTGAGGGGAAGAGCTGCTCTAGCTGGTTGAGGGGCCTCTGCTACCCCCAGGAAGGCCCCCCCCCCCCGCCCCCGGAAACAGGGACTGGAGTCCAGACCTGGCTCCACCCCATCCAACTCACATCAGCCACGGGAACAAGGGCATCGGCCAGCTGCCCAATGCGGTCCTCCCCATGGAGCCAGGACAACAGCGCGAGGCCTAGGGCCACGTCAAGGAGCACGGAGACAAGCATGTTGGCTTTCCTGGAAGGACAGGTCCAAAAGGAGTGGACGGTGAGGGAGGCCTGGCCAGAAAGGGTCAGCGAGGAGGGGTCTGGTGCAGAGAAGGGGAGGGGAAGGGGCTTAGCCTATGGCACATCTGGCCGCTGCCGAGAAGACCCCAGGAAGGCCCCGAACCTCATCAGCTGGGAGGCATTCTCGGCCTTCTGGGTGCTGAAGATGAACGTGAGCTGCTCCAGCCGATGCCTGAGCTGCTCACACGTGGAGAGCTTGCTGCAGATGAAGGACAGTGGCCACAGCTTGAATACCCTGTGAAGGAGCAGAGATGGATGGGCCCTCAGCTCCTCCTGGGCTCTCCTGCCTGCCAGGGAGCAAGGGCTGCCTCAGTGTTATCAACAGGCCTCACGGTGCAGACAGGAAGCCAGGCTCAGCCGGAGTCCCTGGTGGCACCAAACATCGATGGCCACACTGTGAACTCAGCAGGGCAGGAACACGGGTGGGAGGGCCCAGATAAGCAGCCCAGTGGGGCTCATGGCACATTCACAACCATTAACTGGGAGCCCGAGCATCTCACAAAGAGCTGATTCCAGGCCAAGTGCACCCGGCAGTGGAGAGAAAGCACGGTATTGTCACCCAGCGCCTTGCCGTGCTGGATGGGGGATCCTCGCCAAGGGTCTCTGGGCTGCCCTGGACTCCCAATGGGACTGACTTCTCTCCAGGCAAAGGAAGCACTGAGACGCTCCCACAGACATTCAAACGTTGAGGGGACACGCTTGCAAGCACAGATGAAGACAGTGCTGGGTTGCAACTCAGCCATGCCCAGAGCCCCTTTCCACTCACAACCTTGCTGCCGGCAGGGGAAGAGAAAGGGCTGGTGCACGATACAGAGCTACCCACAAGCCGCACTTGGACTCTTCAAAAGGAAGAGGTCCAACCTTGAAAGTTTAAAGGTTTCATCTCCAATCTATGAGCTATGACCAAATCCAAAAAATGAAAAAAATAATAAATTAAGAAATAAATGGCCCTAACTGGTTTGGCTCAGTAGATAGAGCATTGGCCTGCAGACTGGAGGGTCCTGGGCTCGATTCCAGTCAAGGGCACATGCTCGGGTTGCGGGCTTGATCCCCAGTAGGGGGCATACAGGAGGCAGCCGATCAATGATTCTCTCTCATCATTGATGTTTCTCTCTCTCTCTCTCCCTCCCTCTCTGAAATCAATAAAACTATATTTAAAAAAAGATTTTAAAAAGAGAGAAATAAATGAAACGTGTTCAGCATACCTCCTGCCCCCTCCCCACCAACTCCAATCAAATGGAAGGTGGCCTCGCACTGTGTGCACAGACCTCTGCCTGCACAGCAGTCTCCCCAGGGTTCAGACCAGCCCTGGGCAGCCTAGGCCCCAACAGCACCCTGGGCCTGTCCTGGGGGAAACAAGGGGCTTCACTACTGCACGGTGACGGCCATGACTCATCCATACCCACCACCAGTCCTTGACCAACATCTGACTGATGGGTTAATCCAAATTTGGGGCACATAAGTAGTCATTAACTTTTCCTGGGTTCTTTGAAAGCTGTTAAAAGCTAAAAACCTTCTCTCCCCAAAATTGTAGCTAGGCCCAGACATACTTTCACATACTTCATTCCAAGGGAATCATGAAGCTCTGAAACCCCCCATTCCCTGCAGCCTCCACAATCTACGGCATGTCCACACACAGCTGCCAAGGTCTCTCTGCCAGAACAGGCTCTGCCCTGATGAGCAGGCAAGGTCAGTCCCCAAACCAGACAACTTAAACCCCTAGACCTAAGGGGAGGGGGTGCTCCCCCACCAGAGAGATGGCTTATCACAGCGAGAGGGGCCCCTACAGCCCAGCCAGAACTCCCTGGTGCTGCCCCACACTCCCCAGGGCCCTTAGGGGCTTTTATAAATCCCTTGGCCAGGCCTGCAGCCAGGAGTGTTCCAGGTGATTCCAGAGTGGCCAAGGCTGGAGACCACCACACCACACCCATGACTGTCAGTGAGTGGAGACACCCCCACAGCCTCCAGGGCCGCCTCTCCTGCTGGTGCCGGGACAAGGGAGTGGGCGGGCCTAATGTGTTTAGGACAGTGATGGCGAACCTTTTGAGCTCGGCGTGTCAGCATTTTGAAAAACCCTAACTTAACTCTGGTGCCATGTCACATATAGAAATTTTTTGATATTTGCAACCATAGTAAAACAAAGACTTATATTTTTGATTTATTTTATACATTTAAATGCCATTTAACAAAGAAAAATCAACCAAAAAAATGAGTTCGTGTGTCAGAGGTGACAGGTGTCATAGGTTCGCCATCACTGGTTTAGGAGGATGAATAACTCCCAGGCAGGGTACACAAGCCCTCAGCCAGGAACAACCCAGTCTGTCCATTGTCTCACCTCCCTCTCGAGGGCTGGAGCTGAGGTTCACCCAATACCCATACACTGTGGGTCCTACGCAATCGCTGAGGTTGCCAGGAAGCCTGGCTCTTCCTCAGGAGTGCGGGCACCAGAACAGCAGCCACCACCAGGACGCCCTCTGAGATACCAGGAGAGGAATTATGGGAAAGCTGAAGTGTGGAGGACAGCCATGAGCCTCCAAATGACACTGCCCGGGCCTTCACACTGAGGGGGTGGGCCTAGGACTTAGGAGTCTGACTCCTTCCTACCCTGGCCCCAGGGGTACCTACCGACAGGTGCTGGCAGCTGAGATGAATGACAGCAGGTATGCCATCAGCAGGCAGACGGGCCCCGAGGCCTGCTTGGCCAGCTCCACGAGAATGCTGGCCTCCACTCCCTCTGACTGCCAGTGGCTCAGCCGCACGAGGCCCTCATCAAACCGGTCACTTCGGAAGAGTGCCTCGCTTCGTGCCACTGTGTCGAAGACAGCAGCCAGGCCCCTAGTGCTGGCCGTGGCATCCCCGGCCTGGTGGTCAGGCAGGGCTGTGGGCGGGTGCAGCTGGGACAGCAGCACCTTGCGCTGATCATAGAAGATGAGCATGACTTGGTCTTCGCCGGGGGCACTAGGGGAGGTAGGCACCTGCCGGTGGGTGGCCTTGCAGCTCCAGAACTTGCTGCCCCGCTCCCGGCACAGCTGGAGCCAGGGCTCGTGGGAGAAGATGGCGCCCAGGCCCTCCAAAAAATGGCCCAGGCTCTCCTCGGGCTCCTGCCGACGGTGGCACCAGGTGCCCAGCACAGCCACACCTACTCCGCTGGCCTGCTGCACCTGGGCCAAGAGCTCCTTGACCTGGATGGGGATGAAGGGAAAGTGCACCACGGCCAGGACCACAGCACTGTTCTGCTCGGGGACCCAGCGTCCAACCAGCAGGCCGCTGTCTGCTGAGGCACAGCACGTGGGAAAGAAAGCCTTCAGCACCATGCTGGGGACACTGGAAGAGAGGGGAGAGGCTCAGCTCAGAGCTGCTGCCGCCGCCAACACCAGCCTCCATGGCCCCAGGGGGTGGCATCCCTGTGGCTAGAGTCCATGGCCAATGTGTGGCACACACACTCTGATGGGCCCAAAACCCGCTGGTTGGAGTAGCCCAGTTTGGGGCTTGGCCATGGAGGCTGGTGGGGGGGTCCCCGGTTGTCCATCTCCCATGGGCACTGCCCTCCCTTTGCCCTGGGCTGTTGTGAGACAGGCCCCAAATCACCCCTTATCCCCATCCCAAGGCAGGTCAATGCTTTCCCCCATTTCAGAGACAAGCAGGCAATTACATGACCTGCTCAGTACCACTCACAGGGGTTTTGAAGATAAACAAAAGGTTTTAACTTTCGTTTTTAAAGACACTGATTAGTTTTTTATGTTTAGCACACGGGAAAATGTAGTCTCATTAACAATTAAAGTAATGCAAATTAAAACTCTCAACAACCTTGATTTACTTACTAAGCTACCAAGAATAAAGATGAACATTTAAACAAATTGCTGCTGGGCTGAGGGAAACCAGACATGTGCACACTGCTGGTGGCTGTGGGCACTGGTGCAGACACCCCAGAAGGTGCCTAGAAATGTGCCTGGTAACCTGAGCCCACCCTCCTGCCCAGTGAGCCTCCTGGAGGAGCCTCAGTGCTCAGAGAACAGGCTCAGCTCTCACGGGGCCTCTGTCCGCACCTGACCCTCAAGCTATAGCCATGCCCATCCTGCCCTGGGAGCCCCATCCACCCGCCACTTCAGGGAAGGGCTCCCAACAGGGGAGTGTTTCCTCTCATCACAGCTGAGCACCTTCTTTGGGAAGTATTCTTCCAACCCTGTGGCTATCACAAGTGCGGATGGGAGTTCACTAGCCCTGGGGAATGGAAAGACACCATCATCTTCTCAGGAGGAGGGACACCAGCCTTCCTGGCCCCTCACTACCCTCACATGGCCTCTGAGCAACAAGAACAGCCCCAAGTGGGAATTCTGTGGGACCCTGAGCCTTAATTTGTCCAGAAGCAAGCTCACTGGGGATGAGGGTTTCTCAGCAATCACCTCGTTCTTCCACCTGAGCCCCTCCCAGATGGGGCCTGACCCAGCAGGACCTCCCCCAGCATGGACTGAGGGCATTCATATTGAGGTGTGCCCTTTCTCAGACACTGGTGGCCCCCACCTCATTGGCATAAGGGGCAGAGCAGCCACCCTGAGCTAAGACCCCCAAGTTGGAGTCCATACTGGAGGGAGAAAACACAGGCCTTGGACTGAGCCTGGGGCTCCCCTGGCCCTTGGGGATAAGGGGAAGGACACACACATGTTGGGGCAGTGACACTGGGAGGCACAGGGAACCTTTTCCTGAGGACCAGGGGGCACTGGGGGGCCTCACACAGACACAAATGCCCAGGGTTTCAGAGGCCACTGATGCAGCTGCTCCTCTCCCCTGCAGGTAGCCAGCTTGGGACTGGAGGGTTGAGGCCTCTCCCAGCCAGCTTGTGAAAAGGGCCTCTCACAGCTATGGTTCCAGCTGAAAGGGCCCCTTTGAGTCCAAAGGCCCCTCCCCCAGTGACCAGGGAGGGCAGGCAACAGTGTAGCCGCCTGGAGCCAGATCCCCGTGGCCATCATCCAGGGCATCCAGAGCCAACTGGTCTTCCTGAGCCTTCTGCAGGGACTGCCCTCCTGAGAGGACAGAGCGATTCTGCCTGTGAGGGACCCAGTGTGTCTGGCTTGACAACCACCCGGGGGACCAGCCAGCACAGTCCAAAACCTCAGTGCCAGCCTGTCAGGACACACCAGCTCAGCCAAATGCCACCATCACAGCCTTCGTGGGGACGGCTTTCCCAGGAGCTAAGGAAAACTGCTCCTTTGGGAAGTATTCTTCCAGCCAGGTGGCCACTTACAAGTGGGGGTGGGGGGTTCACTGTAGAAGCAGCGGCACAACTGGGCCAATGGCGGACAGGTGCTCTGAGGGAAACTGACTACACGGTATGTTCACTGTGGGAAAATCTGTCGCCTTGTACACATTGTGCTCCATCTACAAAGTTTACCGGGATAAAAGAAAGAAAGAAAGAAAAAAGCAGCAGCTGCTCATGTCTAAGAAAAAGCAGAGAGCAGAAGTTGATGTTCTTATCCGTGGGGCAGCGAGAAAGAACTCTTAACAGATTATGGAGCAAATTCCCAGCCCTGCTCCCACCTCAGCCTCTGGGAGTGAGGAGCACAAAGGAGTCTGCTCAGATCAGACAGCCAGGAAGAGATGAAAGAGCAGGCGATCGATAGCAGAGGTGCAGATTCGGAGAAAGCAGGGCGGTAACTTGGGCAACATGCACACCTTTAAAGACTAATAAAAAAACACACCCCACAAACAACAAAAACAAGGACCCATACCTAGAAAAGCCTCCCGTTAGAAATGGCACCAAGTTCCCTTGTGAAACAGTCCATTCCCAGATCAGCCAGGATCTCCAGGACGCTCGCCCCACGGAACCGGAGGCCAGTCTACCTGATGAGGTCCAGCTGCACGCCCCCCTCCCTCATCCTTTGCACAACTGATTCCGGGACAGAGCCCGGGTATGGCTGGTCAGGGGCATCTCACTGGTGTAGTGGTTCTCAACCTTCCTAATGCCGCAACCCTCTAATACAGTTCCTCATGTCGTGGTGACCCCCAATTTCATTGTTACAAATTGAACATAATTAAAGCATAGTGATTAATCACAAAAACTATACGTAATTATATATGTGTTTTCCGATGCTCTTAGGCGACCCCTGTGAAAGGGTCGTTCGACCCCCAAAGGGGTCGCGACCCACAGGTTGAGAACCGCTGCGTGCAACCAACCCTCCTCCGAGAAGCCTCCCAGGCACGGCTCCTCAATAGCTCACAAGAACTAGTTTTTAGCCCATGCTGTTTGTGTTTAAAAAATGCATTTCCCATGTTTTGTGAAGAGTGCCTCTCCCCCTCTGGTTCAGAAGCATGGCCATGAGTCTAGGATTCTGTTGTTCGCCCTTCACTGCAGTCAGGGACCAATACACAGTGCTGACAGCCCGTGTCCCTGACCCTGAATGCCCTTCCCCAGGGTCCACAGCCAGACCCAGGCTGGGTGGGTCAGCAGCGGGAACGCCTGGCCGGGCGCCCTTCACCCCACGGGGTGCTGAGCCCTGCCTCCCCACCAAGAGCACTCACAGGGCCCGGTCACAATCCGCCCGGCGCTCACTGCCCTCCTGGCCGGTGGCGGCCCCGTTTTACTGATGCTGAAACAGAGGCTCCGAGTGGCAAGAGGGCTGCGCCGGCCCCGGGGGAAGGCTTTGGGGGACCCTTCCGCTCCTTCGCGGGCGCCTGGTCCCGCCGCGATCGGGGCGTTGGGGTCCACAGCCCCGGGCCTGGGGGCGTGGGGAGGCGGGGGGGCCCCCCAAGGTCACACCACACGGACGTCAGCCCTCCCCGCGAATGCTCACCGGCTGCTCCCGAGAGCCGTGCCCTCGGGCGGTGGGTGCGGGATGAGGTTGGGGATGGCGTTGGGCGAGCCAGAGCGGACGACAGCAGCCGCAGTGCCAGCCCCGCTGTGGCAGTGCCTCGGGGCTTTTTCAAAGGCCCCCGGGCTGCCCGCCGGCCTTGCCCGAGAGTTCCGCGCAGGCAACGTTCCTGTCCCCGGAGCCCGGGGCAGGCGCGCGTAGTTTCCTTGTTTTTCCTTCCTCGAAGCGTCCTTGTTTCCCCTCAGCCTCCTTGCTCCCTACCCCGCAGCGTCCTTGTCCCTTCCTGCAGCATCCTTGTGGCCCCCAACAGTGTCTTTGTGCCCCCCTCAGCGCCTTGTGCCCCCCTCCAATCCGTCCCCAACACCCCTGCCTTCCAATCCCTCCACCTTCCCACAGTGGCTGAACCTCCCCGGGTTTCCGCATCTGAGGGAACCAGGCTTTTGAAGGTCTCCCACCCTCCCAGGTGAAAGGACACCTATGCCCTTCCAGAAAGAGCTGCCTCCCCACCCGCAGGCTGGCCCCTCCAAACACTGGTTTCTCACCCGCCCCAGAGACAGGTGGGCTAGGAAGTTGTTGGCCCTGGGAGGACCAGCCAGAGGCTTCAGGCATCTGATCTGATCATCGGGAGTGCGCCTTGCCTCTTCTGCTCTGGGCTATAATACCCTAAGACCAGTAGCAACAACTACTGAGCACCTCCTGCATACGTTTTACATTGACCCATTTAATGCCCCCGCCCATAGGGGCTGGGACGTATGGAGGGAACCTTATCAGAGGTGAATGGCCTAAAAACTACAGACCCCAATATCCTGGTGATAGACAGGAGCACCCCATCATCAGCCTTCAGGAGCAGGACCAGGCACTGTCCCCTCCCCCTGAAGACCTCTTGCTGGCACTAGGAGCCTGTCTGGGCATCAGACTCAGTCACCCGCACTTTCCCACCGTTTTGGGGCCTCCTTTCCCTGCTGTTTTTAAGTAGCAGGAATCTGTCTTCAGAGGAAGGCTCTCCTAGACTTGACCACTGCCTGGGACCCTCCCAGCACCTCCACCCAGGAACTTGGAGCTGTTTGGTCCTGGTTTACAGAGGAGAAAACGAATGATCAGACAGCCTGTGAGATAGTGTCACATGGGAGACGTGGCCAGGGCCATGAAGGCTCCCAGTCCAGCCATGTGACACACAGGGTAGCCCCTCCTCTGCCGCCCCCTTACCTCAGCTGGGCCACGAGAGGCTGCAGGAGGCTCGGAACCTGGGGCGTCTCTGAGGATGGGGATTATGAGGAGCCGCACCCCTGTCCAGGCCACCCAGCCCAGCCGCACCCTCCCTGCCTGCCTGTGACTGATTAGGAGACCGGGACTGGGGCATCTGGTGGGAGATCCTGCCTGGATAAGTGCTGGCAGCTTGTCCAACACGCCAAAGATCTCCAGGCTTCAGCTGCTGGTCCCACAGCTCAGGCCTCCTGGGCCCCGAGCCAGAGGGCCAGGGCCCGAGTGGACATGGGAGTGGTGAGCGCTGGGGTACGGTAAACTGGGGCATGGAGCAGACCCAACTTTGGAGGCTGGGAGGCAGTTGATCTGTGGCTGCTGACAAAGTCTGAATTCTCTCCCAGAGAAGACAAGAGGCCAGCCCAGGGCCTGGCCCACTAGGTGCTCAGCAAATGTGCAGGATCAGGAAGATATGGCTGGTGGCCCTGAAGGACTCTGCCTCTCATGGTGATCTGGAGGCCTGAGGGCTGGACCCATGCACAGTGAGGGGGCTGCTGCCATCTGAGTCCACCTGGTCAGGGCAGCTACGGGTGTTACATGTAGCTGGCCCCTGCGTCCATCACCATGAGCTGGCTCTGGAGCACAGAGGCCATCCCAAGGGCTTCCCCGGCCCCTTGAACACCATGCAGAGGCTGTCCTAGCCCAAGGGAAAGGGTCAGCCTGACACTGCTGCTTGCCTGCCACAGTAACGTTACCCTCTGAGTCAGTGGCCACACCCAGCAGGCTGCCAAAGCTGTGGCCCATCAGGCCCCCCAGGGAGCCCAGTGGCTGGCAGGCACTTGGACAAAAAGCCCCTGGAGGCCCCAGGCCCACCCAGCAGGGCCCCTCCAGACCCAGCCTGGAGGCTGGGACCAGCAGCTCCAAAGTGGGTCCCAATGTGAAGCTCTGTACAGCTCCAGGTACGTAGTCTGTTACCAGGAAGGGCATCCACAGCCAGACCCCGAGGGGCCAGGAAGTGCCCACCATCACCCAGTTCCGCGGGCACTTGGGAAGTGTGCTGGAGTGTGTGGACAGCCCTGTGGACAAGCTCACTGACCACCACGAGCGCAGCAGCTGTCACAGCCACATCTTCTGGCACGAAGCCCCTGAACCCTGGCGCCCTGCAGGACAGGTAGCAGCAGAGGGTCCCTCAAGGCCCAGCACAGAGATGCAGGGAGCAGGCCACCCAGGGAGCAGTGCAGACCCTGGGCCCCCTTCAGCCCCGCAGGCACCAGGATCTTCCTGAGCAGCTAGGAGTGAGCCGAGTCTCCAGGACGGTCCAGAGCAGCGGTTCTCAACCTGTGGATCACGACCCCTTTGGGGGTCGAACGACCCTTTCACAGGGGTCGCCTAAGACCATCGGAAAACACATATATAATTACATATTGTTTTTGTGATTAATCACTATGCTTAATTACGTTTAATTTGTAACAATGAAATTGGGGGTCACCACAACATGAGGAACCGGATTAAAGGGTTGAGAACCATTGGTCCAGAGTGAGGTGAAGGGCCTGGGGGCAGCTGGCCAGCTGGTGGGGAAGCCCAGAGGTCAGAACAGGAAGCCAGAAGGTGGTGTGCCACCAAGTCACTATTGTTGGGCCAAGTTTGGGGCTGCTAGAGAAAGCATGCCCCGCGGTGTACTGAGCAGCAGCTGCCTCAGTGCCCCTGTGCCCTTCCAGGCAGTGCTGGTGTTCTGTTTCTCCAGAGGGGCAACTGAGGCGTGAAGGTGGGGGTGGCAGTGGGGGAGGGAGCTGGATTCAAACTCAGCTCCACCAGGTCCTGAGCCTGGTTCAGCCCGCAAAGCCAGCAGCCAGCTGTGTCTCTAGGTTCTATTTTCCCAGCATGACGCCTGGAATGCGGTTCTGGGGACACGGACCATGAAGGTTGCTGCGGGTTTTGCTCTGAGACCTGAATGAGCTTGCGGGCATTGAGATGTCCCGAGATGGCGGTGAGGGTGACAGATGAGGCGTGTTTCTCAAACTCACTTGCCCATGAAACCGTTCCTTCCTTTAGGCAGGGAAAGTGACCCTTCTTGGGGACAGCCCCAGCCCCTGCCCATTGGTACCACACAGTCCCTGGAGACTTCCAACCGCTGCGGGATGGGGCCCGGGTCCTGTCCTACGCCTCCCCACCTGCCCTTACCCAGGGAGGCCAGTGGGAGTGCGGGAGACTCTGGACCCTGCTCCAGCAGCAGCCTCTGTAGTTGGAAACTAGAGTCTGAGGGAGGGGAAGGAGCCCCCTTGACATGGGCAAGGAGAAGGGGGCAGGAGAAGCCACTGGGCCCTATGGAGCCCTGACACTTCGCTGCGAAACCCCAGGACTCCCAGTGCTGCTACATTCCTGCCCTGGGGCCCTTGCCCTGGCCTCTGGGCCATTCTTCCTGCTGCCCCCGCTTGGCTGGATGCCACTCATGGTTAGCGCAACCAACCCCTCCCCAGGGAGGCCCCACAGCTGTCCACACCCCACACCCTTCTGCGATGTCAGGCATGGGCTCGCTCGTCAGAAGGCTCTGAGCAAATACCTGCAGATGAAGCGGTCCCACCCGCCCCCCAACCCACCCCTGTCCCCCAGCAGGACCAGAGTCCAGGTGGAGGACTTCCAGGGGTCCAACTTGTCCCCCAACCCCTACAATGAGCAGGTCGGGTCCTGTCTCTCTGTTTCCATTTCTGCACCGGTGAAGCTGGGGTGACCTCCCCCAACAGGGCCAGGCTCATGTCTGCCCTGTGGGTGATGAGAAATCAGGGAGCAGCAGACACGACACCTACAGGTGCCGATGGGAGGCCCAAGGCTCGGGGCCTGGGGGTTCTCTGGACACTCCTAACAGCCCACAGTCCCCTGCGGCTCCTCTGGGAAGCCCCTGGAAGCTGGAGAGTCAGCCTCTGTCAGCAACTCACAGCTCTCCCCGCCTGGCTGGCTTACACCCACCCTGGACACTGGCTCTTAACGCCCCTTGGTGGGGAGGGCGGCGATGCTATCTGCTGCCCGTACAGTTAATGGGGCAGCCACAGGTCCTGCTCCGACTGGCCCCAGCCCGGCTGGTCCAGCTTCAGGGAGCCGGGCGCAGGCAGGAACTGCCTTCCCTGGGGCTATTCCTGAGCGGGCCAACTCCCAGGGAGAGAAGTGATTAGCTGGGTCCAAGGGTCCCCTAGGAGCCCCTCCCTACCTGCCCCCACCCCAGCCTGTGGGAAAGGCCCAGTCCAGCCTGGTCTGCTGGGAGGGAGGCAGCGAGCTGTGAAGGCCACCCGATGCCTATCATGCCTGCAGGGGCTGGCAAGGGCCCAGTGGAGGCCATGCTGGGCAAGCAGCCCTGGGCCACAGAACGTGGGGAGCACCTTTCAACTGCGGTGGCAGCAGCCTCCAGCATGGATCTGACATCAGGGCTGCCCTGCCAGACGCAGGGGCTGGAGGCATGCCTGGAGGCCCTGCCCACCACCAATGTGCTGACACGCTGGTCTGACCGCGCACCTGCTTCTCCTTGCTCGGCCCCTCCCGATGGAAAGCCCCCCACTCTATCCCCAGACTCTGCCCCTCCAGGAAGGGCCCAGTTTACAGGAGGCAGGTCAGGGTCTGAAGGTGGACACCCGGCAGGCGGCCCAGGACACTGCCTGCCCGAATGCCATGGCTGGTCCATCTGCACGGGGGGAAGGTGTTCCG